TTGCATATCCATTGGGATGCTTCTCAGTGAACAGTAACATGGATGTGTTTTCCAAATTTATTGAACCCGGGTCAAATCCCTGCATATACGTATTATCTAGTGAACGCAGACTTTTGTGTTGCAGCAGCTTGATGTTACTCCCAGTGCTCACACTGCTCCTACTCATGCTCCTGCGGTCTCTCAACCACCTCCTACATCATTTCCAGAGGGCCAATTCAACGGCGAAGCGAATCGTGAAGACCAATACTCGTAAGTTCACGTTAGCTCCGCCTATTCCTGCTCTCTGAGTTCGATTGCCTGCTGTTCAGAAGTGAGGGCAAGGACTTTGGATTCGAACCTAAGGTCGAACCAATTGACGACTATTCGTACGGGTTTGGTGATCATATGCGATATGATCCAGCAAGTGAGTTATTTGGTGCTTACCAAAATCATCTTTATCTCCATAAAATTTGTGTGCTCACATACGCTGCTTAGGGGAAAGGTTTCTTGGAATAGCTCATTCTCACAAAGTCAGTTCTCATCTTTCTGTCTATTTATGTTGCAATATAGCTGTAAGTTAGATAGTAATGTTGCTTAGCTCGTTCTACCCACGTCTATAATTTGGAATATCTCAATTTTTTGGCTATTTTCAAAACTGTTAGCAAAGTAGGTTTGTTACAGGTGTTCTATAACCCTTGCACACTTTTTTTTTGCATAAGCGCATTGCAAATAATTCGATAGCCTCTTCCAATTTAGCGATTAGCCGTACATAAGTTTCCACATAATCTCCAAAACACAACTAATTACTGCTGTTGTACACGTTTCTATTATCTGTCCTTGCAGATGGCGAATTCAATGTATTCGAATATCAGTCTACTTCGGGTGACGTCAAGGTAAAACAACAGGATCTCACTTCTTTTGATCTCAAGATCCACGCTTGCAGATGGAGGGCGATGCAATGCGGAAGTACTCTCAACGAAATGTGAAAATTCCCATTCATGAGCGTCCTTACAAATGCCCAAGAGACGATTGCGATCGGCGGTTTTCACGAAGCGATGAGCTAACTCGCCATATACGAATTCATACGGGGCAGAAGCCGTTTCAAGTACTGATGAATTTTGTTCTTTCCGTTATGTAGTTTGTAAAATACTATTTCAGTGTCGGATCTGTCTTCGAGCATTTTCACGATCGGATCATTTGACAACACATGTTCGAACGCATACGGGCGAGAAACCGTTTTCATGTGACGTTTGTGGGCGGAAATTTGCTCGAAGTGATGAACGTAAAAGACATACGAAGGTGGGCAATAGCAGTGTCATTTCTAGGTTGCCATTCTTTTTCTTTGCTACCTGCAATTAGTTACATGTAATTGAATCTGTTCTCCTTTAATTTTAGTAAGGAAAAAGCCATAGATATGTAGTTTTCGAGCAATGATCCAAAATTATCAATTGAAAGGCATCAAAGCAATCAATAATTACGTGTTGGAGATGCAAATTTTATGTTAACGTCCTTTCTTGAATTTGAGTTCAGCACCAGCGTCTTAACTGATTCACCGAAAGAATCACTGATTATTTTTCTTATTTGTGCAA